CAGCAAAAGCAGTTTTGAGAGGGAAGTTCATATCCTTACAAGCCTGTTGCAAAAAACTAGAAAAAAGGGTAACAGATGATCTAACTCTATAACTCAAAGAGTTAGAAAGGGAGCAACAAGAAAACCCCAGTGTAAGCAGAAGGAAGGAAATAACAAAAATCAGAGCACAGATAAACGACATAGAGACCAAAGAAACAATACATAAGATCAACAAAACCAAGAGCTGGTTCTTTGAAAGAATAAACAAGATAGATGAACCTCTAGCCAGGCTAACCAAGAAACAAAGAGAGAGGACCCAAATAAACAAAATCAGAAACAAAAGAGGTGAAATAACAACAGACACCACTGAAATACAACAGATTGTGACAAAATACTACGAACAACTCTATTCCAACAAACTGAACAACCTGGAGGAAATGGACATATTCCTAGAAAAATAAAAACTTCCAAAACTCAATCAGGAAGAATCTAAAAATTTCAATAGACCAGTCACTTGGGAAAAAATTGAAACAGTCATCAAAAAGCTTCCAGCAAACAAAAGCCCAGGGCAAGATAGCTTCACAGGAGAATTTTACCAAACATTCAAGGAAGAACTAAAACCTATCCTCCTCAGACTATTCCAAAAAATCCAAGAGTAAGGAACACTTCCAAACTCTTTCTATAAAGCCAGCATCACCCTAATACCAAAACCAGATAAGGACAACTCAATGAAAGAGAATTACAGGCCAATATCTCTCATGAACATAGATGCCAAAATCCTCAACAAAATTCTAGCAAATCGACTCCAGATGAACATCACAAAGATCATACACCATGACCAAGTAGGATTTATTCCAGGAATGCACAGATGGTACAATATCTGCAAATCAATAAACGTGATACATCACATAAACTAATTGAAAGATAAAAATCATATAGTCATATCAATTGATGCAGAAAAAGCATTTGATAAAATCCAACACCCTTTCCTGATAAAAACTCTTAACAAGGTGGGAGTACAAGGATCATACCTCAACATAATAAATGCTATATATGATAAACCCACAGCCAACATTATATTCAATGGGCAAAACCATTCCCTCTAAGAACAGGAACAAGACAGGGATGCCCACTCTCGCCACTCCTGTTTGACATAGTACTGGAAGTACTAGCGATTGCAATTATACAAGAGGAGGAAATAAAAGGCATCCAAATTGGAAAAGAAGAAGTAAAGTTATCCTTATTTGCAGATGACATGATATTGTACATAAAAAACCCAAAAGACTCCATTGAAAAACTAATTGACTTAATAAATGAATTTGGCAATGTAGCAGGATACAAAATTAATGCCAAGAAATCCATGGCATTTCTATACACCAACAGTGAATCTACAGAAACAGAGACTAAAAAAGCAATTCTATTTACCATCGCACCAAAAAAATTAAGACACCTAGGAATAAATTTAACTAAGGAAGTAAAGGACATATATGCGGAAAACTACACAACAGTGAAAAAAGAGATAGAGAAAGATGTAAAGAGATGGAAGAACATACCATGTTCATGGATTGGTAGAATCAACACCATCAAAATGTCCATACTTCCTAAAGCAATCTATAGGTTCAATGCACTCCCCATTAAAATACCAACGACATATTTCACTGACCTAGAAAGAACTCTCCAAAAGTTCATTTGGAACAATAAAAGACCCCAAATAGCCACAGCAATCCTGAGAAAGAAGGGTAAAGTAGGAGGGATCTCAATGCCAGACTTCAAATTGTATTACAAAGCCACTGTTCTCAGAACAGCCTGGTACTGGCACAAGAACAGACATATAGATCAATGGAATAGAATTGAGAACCCAGATATCAACCCAAATCACTATGCTCAGTTAATATTTGACAAAGGAGCCATGAATATACAATGGAGTCAGGACAGTTTCTTCAATAAATGGTGTTGGGAAAATTGGACAGACACATGCAAAAGAATGAAACTAGATCATTTTTGTGTATGGTGTAAGAATGAAACTTACACCATATACAAAAATAAACTCAAAATGGATATAGGACTTAAACATCAGACGGGAAACCATAAAAATACTAGAAGCATCCACAGGCAGCAAAATCTCAGACATATGCCAAAAGAACTTCTTCACTGCTACTGCCCCTAGGGCAATGGAAGCTAAAGAGAAAATAAACAAATGGGACTACATCAAAATAAAAAGCTTCTTTACAGCAAAAGAAACCATCAACAAAACAACAAGAAAGCCCATGGTGTGGGAGAACATATTTGCAAATAATACCACTGATGAAGGTTTAATCTCCAACATCTACAGACAGCTGATACAACTAAATAAAAGGAAGATGAATGATCCAATTAAGAAATGGGCAATGGACCTAAATAGAATATTTTCAAAAGAAGACAGAAGGAAGGCCAAAAGGCACATGAAAACATGCTCAAAGTCACTAATTGTCCGAGAGGTGCAAATCAAAACAACAATGCGGTACCATCTCACACCTGTCAGAATGGCCAACATCAACAAATCAACAAACGACAAGTGTTGGCGAGGTTGTGGAGGAAAAGAAATCCTTGTGCACTGCTGGTGGGAATGCAGACTGGTGCAACCACTGTGGAGAACAGTGTGGAGTTTCCTCAAAAAACTGAAATGGAATTCCTATTTAACCCAGTAATCCCACTCCTAGGAATATATCCCAAGAAACTAGAAACACCAATCAGAAAGGATATATGCACCCCTATGTTCATAGCAGCACAATCTACAATAGCCAGAATCTGGAAACAGCCTAGGTGCCTGTCAGCAGATGATTGGATCAAAAAACTACGGTATATTTACACAATGGAATACTATGCTGCCATTAAAAAGAAGGAATTCTCATCATTTGCAGCCACCTGGATGGAATTGGAGAGCATCATGCTTAGTGAAATAAGTCAATCAATGAAAGAGAAACACCACATGACCTCACTCATTTATGGATAATAAAGAACATTATAAACTGATGAACCAAAATATAGATATAGAGTCAGTAAAGCAACAAGCAGACTGTCAAATTACAGTGGGGAGGGGAGGGAGATCTGGGGGAGATAATAGATCAACTGTAGGACTTGTATACATGCATATAAGTACAACCAATGAACATAAAACTCTGGGGAGGGAGGGTATGTATGTGAGGGAAGGAGGGGGGCAAAAAAAAAATCAAAATTAATTAATTAATTAATTAATTTTAAAAAATAAAAAAAGAAGAAATAATTTAAGGGGTAATAAATTATATCGGTAAGGGTATAATTGAGGTAAAATCATTAAAGGAATATTGTTTGATTTGCAAAAAAAAAAAAAAAAAAAAAAAAAAAAACTAGAAAAAAAAGAAAAAGGATCCCAAGTCAAATTTATAGAAAATATCCCTTTATTAACTTTTGGTCAAGAATATGTTTGTATATTTTCAGAAAACAACTCCAAGACCATCTGGAATCCTGTAACAGAGAGGAATAGACAGAAGTGCTCCAGCCATGAAGACAGAAGAGAAACAATTCAGAGATGGAAGATGCTGACAACACCTCGCCATACCAGCAGACAGCAGCTGCGTGTTGCTGAAGGATGCCCAGGACCAAACCAGAGACGGTCAGACCTGTATCACCATCGTTTGTCCAACAAACAGATCTGAAATAGCATGTCTTACAGGTATACATAAGGAACTATTTGACATTGAAATTGGGACTCAAAAGAACTGTTGGCCCAGAAAGGAATTCACTACAGACTGATTCATTTGCCTCTCAGCATAACCATTATGGCTTTTCTCAGTTTAGGTTCTTACAAGGGCATTTCTTAGATCACATGATCTCATACATCTAGAGGAAATGATCAACAATATAGACTGATGAACAAAAACAGACTCAGAGAAAGAGAAGCACCGAACAGACTTTCAAACCTCAGAGGGAAAGTAGGGAAGGGTGGGGGTGAAGAAGAGATCAACCAAAGGACTTGTGTGCATGCATATCGGCCTGACCAGTGGCCATGGACAATGCGGGGGTGAGGGCATATGTAGGGAGGGGTCTGAGATGGGATTGGGGGGGGGGGGGAGGGGAATGAGGATAATTATGTGATACCATAATCAATTAAAAAAAATGGGGAAAAAATAAAAAAATAAAAAACAACAACTAAAATCAGAACGCACTTCATCCAAAAACACAGGAAGCTGGCGGAGTGGAAAATCTACAACCAGGAAGAAGGAGAGAGGCTCATGGATTGGACTGGGAGCGGCAAAACGCTGAAGTAGGGAGATCTCGAGTGCACACACAAACAGGAAGTGCAGCCAAGTGCCTGCCTGGCGAGAGAGGAGGAATTCCCAATTGCACTGAACCCTTTCCGACTGTACTAAACCCCAACTTCGGCTGAAACCCCATGGACCCAGGCTCATACAGGTGGAGTCTGGACTGTAGAGAAAGGCACCCAGACACTCAGATACTAGGAGACCAGGGGAGCCAGGAGCTGCAGCAGGCAGGGTCTACAGTCACGCACGAGTGAGTACCTGCAGAGGTCTGACCGCTGAGGTTGCGGCGGCCTCTCCATAGCGGAAGGAGTCAGAAGAGAGTCATGGGGCGGGGGAGAAACAACTGAAATAATCTGAGCAATAAAGATTTATTTTTTTTTAAAGACAAGTCTTTGGCAATGTAGAAAAAAATATATTTCAGGAAACAGTGATGCTTTTTTAAGGCTAATAAAAAAGAGAATGAGATTATAAGAAACTAGATCCAAATATGGAGAGGAAGGAATATCACTAGAGAAGGCAAAGAGGGCAACAGCTGGTTAAAATTAGGAGGTAAGTATAAGAGGAAAAGGACAGGCAATATATTAAGAAAGGGGAAAAGGTAAGGTCACTTAAAAGTCATGCTGAAAAGTCTTACTTTTGCACAACAGGCTTAAAGTTTTTATGGGAAACTTCCCAGAGAGCATCTCAAAGATGTAGCCTCTCCATTGAATAACTGGGTCATTACTATCATGCCTCACTTACCTGGATATTGGCTTCCTGTTACTTCTCTGTCAACCAACCAGGGTTCCTTCCCCTGCTCCAAGAAGGAGATCACATCTGGTTTAGAAATAGAATGTCCTGCTTATAAAAGAAGTAATGAGACATGTTTATAAGAATGTCCCAGAATTCAAATCCAGTTCCTTCATTAAGAAAGAGTTAAAGACCCTGGCCAGTGTGGCATGACCTCCTTTGAATCAGGAGGTCATGGTTCAATTCCTAGTCCAGGCGTATGCCTGGGTTGTGGGCTCGGTTCCCAGTGTGAGGCATGAAGGAGGCAGACAATTAATGATTCTTTCTCATCATTCATGTTTCTGTCTCTCTTCCTCTCTGAAATCAATGAAAATATATTTAAAATAAAAATAAAAACATTCCTCTAGGAACTGCATTAGAAATCTACTGGTTAATTAAAAGGTAGGTAAGTATTTTACCCTGGAGGAAGCAGACATTCTGAGGGCAGAATCTGAATTAATATGGACAGAAGTCCTTACCCACTGAAATCAGGTTGTTGTAATTCTCCAACATCACATCTCTGTATAAATCTCTCTGATCATCATTCAGGCATTCCCATTCTTCCTGAGAGAAGTCTATGGACACATCACTGAACACCACTGACTCCTAGAACAACAATCATGCATATGACTTGATTAACTTTAAAAAATGTTTTTGTGAAGGCAAGAGAAGAAAATAAAGGTAGAAGTGAAAAATAGCAAGCATATAGAGAAGGGGTGAATGTGGGAGGATTGTAAACAAATAAGCATGACTTAACCAATAAGTTTCCATATTATTATGTTTCCTCCAGACAAAACTGCCTGAGTATACTGGGATACTTCCACTATCTACATAAGTCTGGGAAGGTACAGTCTACTAAGAAGTTTCCTAATTAAATGAGTTGGTATGTCAAATGCCTAACACAATACTCGTTATATAATACAAATGTGCTTCTTTTTTCTCTCCTCTTTTTCCAAAAGCTAAAAGTAAAATTTCAGAAGAAGGGAAAAAGAGAAGGCATTAAAAGCATCCAGAGAAGAGTAGATCATATAAAAGACATCAAGAATCAGAGAGACAATGGGTTCTTTACAACACTATCTATATATATTTAAAAAACGAATATGCAAAGTGTCTCCTTGGGATTTCGACCAGGAGACTGGGAGTTTGATCACTCACAATAACGTGTGCTGACCACAAGGGGGCAGAACAGAATGAAGGAAGGTCCCAGCCAGCAGCCAGAAAGAAAGCCCCAATCAGCCCAGATAACTGGCCAAGCCTAGGGACCTTACCCATGCACTAATTTCATGCACCGGCCTCTAGTTAAATATTTTTAAATCTCCAATATTTTTATGGAAAAAAGAAATTCTGACCAAAAATTCTATAATAGAACTATCATTCTAGTGTAACGGCTGAAAAAACAATATACCTAGACATAAAAGGACACAAGCACAATTTCTTAGGAAACTATCAGTTGATGTGCTCCACCAAAATGGGGAAGTAAACCAAAAAAGAGGAAGACATAAGATTCAAGAAAATAGGTAAATTAGTACAGAAAACAGTGAAGGAAATCCAAGGAAACAGAAGAAAAAAGGAAAGTCTTGAGAAAACTGTAGCAGAACTAGAGAGTAACCAGACTAGATAGGAGCAGGATTAAAAAGACAATGGAGATTAAAGTCTCCACATGCAAAAGGAATGATGTGTTTGATCAAATGAAAAACATTAATTAGCATGTGACAATGATTCTGGAAACATTGGATAAAAATACATTAATAGCCCTAGCTGTTTTGGCTCAGTGGATAGAATGTTGGCCTGCAGACTAAAGGGTACATGCTTTAATTCTGGCCAAGGGCACATGCCCAGGTTGTGGGCTCAATCTCCAGTGGGGGATATAGAAGGGGTAGCCAATCAATGATTCTCTTTCATCATTGATGTTTCTCTCTCCTCCTTTCCTCTCTGAAATCAACAACAACAAAAAATTTAAATACATGGATAATTAAGCAAATGTGAGAAAAAAATTAACCTCAGGAAAAATAAAAGTAGTAATAGAATAAAGGTGAGCTAGCTCAGCAGTGAGTGATATTTATAGATTAATATCCCATAGACTATTGATGTAACCAAAAACTGTAATATAATTAATTATAGAAGCAGAGGAAATTAAGGGAGCAATATGGGAATACAATGTCCCTTCCACTCTGCAGTAAGTCAAGAGATAATGAGTAAAATAGATTCATAAAAAAATAGCAATTCAACCATATTCAAGAGTTGAAGAGGAAAGAAAGTTGTGGGACTAAGTGAAAAAGATGAAGGGATTAAGAAGTACAAATTGGCAATTACAAAAGTCATGGTGATGTAAAATACAGTATAGAGAATATAGTCAATCCTATATAATAAAAAGGTAATATGCAAATTGACCATTACTTGCACAATATGGCCGCCCCCAGGTGGTCACAAGATGGCCACCATGGAAGGGTGGTGAGGGGGGCCAGGCATGCAGTGGAAGGCAGTTGGAAGGGACCAGGCATGCAGGGAAAGGCAGTTGGGGGCAGTCGGGTCAGTAGGGGAAGGCAGTTGAGGGCGATTGGGCTGAGAGGGGAACAGTTAGGCATTGATCAGTCTGAGAGAGGAGTGGTTAGGGGGTGATCAAGCTGGCTGGCAGGCAGGAGAGTGGTTGGGAGCCAGCAGTTTTGGACTCTGAGAGTGATCAGGCCTAAATTGGCTGTTGGACACCCCTCCCCCAAGGGGTTCCAGATTGGAGAGGGTGCAGGTTGGACTGAGGGACACCCCCTCCAGTACACAAATTTCATGCACCGGGCCTGTAGCAATCTACACTAATAAAAGAGAAACATGCAAATTAACCATCACTCTACTACACCCACCAGCCAATCAGGAGTGAGTATGCAAATTAACCCAACAAAGATGGCAGCAGCCACAAAGCTCGAGCAAGCAGGAGGCTTGGGTTGCCCCTGGCGATGGAGGAAGCCAAACTTCCCGCCCGCCCTGGCATCCACTTAAGGCTACAAAGTTTCAATTATAAAGGATAAATAAATCCCAGACACCTACTTCCAGCAGGCCCTGGCCTCTGCTCAAGGAGGTGCTGAAAGAAGAAAAAAAAAAAGGAGGGGCTGGGATCTTTCATGGCCAGCCTGAAAACAGTCATCAGCCCCTCACCCAGGCTGGCCAAGCACCCCAGAGGGACGCCCCCCCAACCTTAAGGGGCTGTGAACAGCCTGAAAACAGTCCTCAGCTCCTCACCTAGGCTGGCCACACTCCAATGAAGTGAGGGTCCCAGCTGCCGGGCTTCACCAGCCTGCAAACAGCCATCAGCCCCTCACTCAGGCTGGCCATGGACCCCCAGCAGGGACTCTTCCCCTACAGGACACCCTTCAGGGCAAACCAGCCAGCCCCCACCTGTGCACAAGGCCTCTATCTATGGTAATAAGAGGGTAGTATGCTAATTAGACTGGGAGACCTTCCAGACGTTCTTCTGGATGGCGACAACCACAGAGCGGAAGCCACGGAGCTCAGCCCCACCACCAGAGCCCATGGTGGTGGGGTTGAAGTAGAGGCAATTAGAGGCCAAGAGGGGAGGGCAGTTGTGTATGATCAGGCCAGGATGGACGGCAGTTGTGGGTGATCAGACTGGTGGGTGGTGGGCCATTGGGGTTAAGCAGATCAGCAGGGGGGCCAGTTAGGGGCCAGTGGGGGTCAATTGGAGGTGGTCAGGACAGTGGGGGAAGGGGGGCAATTTAGAGTGAGCAGGTGAGCAGGGGACAGTTGAGGGTGAACAGGCCAGTGGGGAAGAGAGGTGGGGGTGAGCAGACCAGTAAGGGGGGACAGTTGGGGGCAAGCACACTGGCACAGGAGCCAGTTGAGGGTGATCAGGCTGGCAGGGGGGCATTTGGGGGCGAGCAGGCTGACATCAGGGGTCAGTTGGGAGCGAGCAGGCCAGCATGCAGAGTGGTTGGGGCAACCAGGCAGGCAGGTGAACAGTTAGGAGCCAGCAGTCCCAGATTGCAAGAGGGATGTCTGACTGCCGGTTTAGGCCTGATCCCTGCAAACCAGCAATAGGACATCCTTTGAGAGGTCCCAGTTTGGAGAGGGTGCAGACCGGGCTGAGGGACATAGCCCCCATGCACGAGTTTCGTGCACCAGACTACTAGTAGTATAATAACTATGTATGGTGCCAGGCAGGTAGTTGAAGTATCATGGGGAATTACTTTGTAAATTATATGACTATCTAACTACTTATGCTGTATACCTGAACCTAATACAAAATAATATTAAAAAAACAACTGTAACTTAAAAATTAAATTTAAAAAGAGGGTTGAGGGCAGCCACCTTTTAGGAGTGGAACTGGTGATAAAACTGTAATAGTGCTACTTCACTTGTACACATGTATATAATTCTATCTAATAAAAGAGTAATATGCAAATTGACTAGGCCTGAAGGGGGAGGGAATTTAGGGGGACCAGGCTTGCAGTGGAGGGCAGTTGGGGGGATAAGGCTTGCAGGGGGAATAGTTGGGAGGGACAAGGCCTGCAGGGGAGGACAGTTGGGGGGGACCCAGGCCTGAAGGGGAGGGCAGATGGGGAATCAGGCCAGCAGGGGAGGGCCTAAACAGGTGGTCGGACATCCCTCAAGGGGTCCCAGGTTGGAGAGGTTGCAGGCTGGGCTGAGGGACAACCCTCCCCCCTATCTTACCCCCACTGCACAAATTTTGTACAAGGGCCTCTAATGACTTTTTAAAATATTTTATCTTAGAAAATTTAATTTGCATATAATTCAAGAAAACCATTCTAATGCCACAATATCCTATATAATAAAAGAGTAATATGCAAATTGACCATACCTCTGCTATACCCACAAGCCATGCCCACCATCCAACCAGGAGCCAGTATGCAAATTAACCCAACCAAGATGGCTGTGGCCACGGAGAGAACAGGAGGCTTGGGTTTCCCCAGCAATGAAGAAAGCCAAGCTTTCCGCCTACCCTGGCCTGCCTTGGCCTCTGCTGAAGGCTACAAAGTTTCAGTTAGAGAAGATAAATAAATCCCAACAAAAATGGCTGCAGCCATGGAGAGAGCAGGAGGCTTGGCTCCATTCAAAGCTACAAAGTTTCAATTATAGAAGATAAATAAATCCTAGATACCAGGGCCTCTGCTTGGGTCACTGGGGGACATGGCCAGCCTGCAAACCACCACAGGCCCATCACCCAGGCCACCCCAAGAAAACCCAAGAAAACCCTACCCTGATCTGGGACACCCTTCAGGGCAAACCAGCCGGCCCCCACACGTGCACCAGGCCTCTGTCCTATTTAATCCTCCTATCTAATAAAATAAAAATATGCAAATTGACCATCATACCAACACACAAGATGGCTGCCCCCATGTGGTCAAAGATAACTGACCCCATGTGGATACAAGATGGCCAGCAGTGGAGGGTAGTTGGGAGGGACCAGACCAGCAATGGAGAGCAGTTGTGGGTGATCAGGCCAGCAAGGGATGGAAGCTGGGAGGGACAAGCCCTATAAGAGAGGTCAGATGGGGGCAATTAAGCCTGCAGGAGAGGACAGTTAAAGATGACCAGGCCGGCAGAGGAGGGAAGTTGGGGGTGATCAAGCCTGCAGGGAAGGGCAGCTGGGGGGGAGGGGGACCAGGCCTCTAGGGGAGGGCAGTTAGGCATGACCAGGCCTACAGGGGATGTCCCAGATTGGAGAAGGTGCAGACTGGGCTGAGGGACACATATCCCTGTGGACAAATTTTATGCACCACGCCTCTATTTATATAATAAGAGCTATTCCTTGTTAAAAAATAAATAAATAAATAAAAATCTCTTCATAAGCATGTTTTTCACTGAATAATATTCTATTATACTATCTAATAAAAGAATAATATGCAAATTGACCACCATTCCAACATACAAGATGGCTGCCCCCATGTGGACACAAGATGGCCACCACAAGATGGCCAGTAGGGGAAGGACCAGGTCTTCAAGGAAGGGCAGTTGTGGGCGATCAGGCCAGCAGGCAAGGACAATTGGTAGGGACCAGGGCTGCAGGGGAGAGCAGTTGGGGTGATCAAGCCTGCAGGGGAGAGCAGTTAAGAGCAATCAGGCTGGCAGGGAAGCAGTTAGGCATCAATCAGGCTGGCAGGGAAGTGGTTAGGGGTGATCAGGCTGGCAGGTAGAAGCAGTTAAGGACAATCAGGAAGGCAGACAGGTGAGCAGTTGAAAGCCAGAAGTCCTGGATTGTAAGAGGAATGTCCAACTGCCCGTTTAGGCCTGATCCTACCAAGATCAGGCCTAAATGGGAAGTTGGACATCCCTTAAGGGGTCCCAGATTGGAGAGGATGCATGCTGGGCTGAGGGACACACATCCCATCCCCCTGTGCACAAATTTCATGCATCGGTCCTCTAATATGAATATAAATGATAACTTTTCTTTTGCTTTCAGATATTGAGGCTACAGGTGATCTTTAGAGATTTTCCCAACATTAGCCCAATCTTATAACCACACCCATTGTTCAACTGGAAATTCCCTTTATTCCTCAGCTACACAAAATATATGGAGGAGAACATTCCATTATAAAGACTGAAATCAAAAAACACTTATTCCACATATTTTCTCACTAGAAAACCTAGGTCTGCAGAAATGTTCAGGACTTTCCCCTTTGAGGTGTCCTTAATTATTCATCCCATCAAATCACTAAGAAAATTAGATTCATTAACAAATTAATCTAGATTTCTGGTATATGTCTAAGATAGAAGATACTGAAGTACTTACAAAATGAATCTGTAAACATTGTTTAGAAACCTAGCTGGTTTGTCTCAATGAATAGAGTATTGGCCTGCAGATTATAGAGTCCCTGGATTCAATTCCAGTCAAGGGCATGTGCCTGGGTTGCAAGCTTGATCCCCAGTGGGGATGTGCAGGAGGCAGCCAGTCAATAATTCTCTATCATCAATGATGTTTCTTTCTATCTTTCCCTCTCCCTTCCTCTCTGAAATCAATAAAAATGTATTTTAAAAAATTGAAATTAAAAATATAAGGAAGAACTGGTTGTGTGTAGATAGGGTCACTGGGCTGTTTAGGAGAAAACTGGTGTCAGTTTCCTGAAGAGGGACTATGTTAACCTGTGCAAAATTTTATTTTCCAAACTTGGTTTCAGTCAGACCATTTTTCATTTTGTAATTCACAATCTTTTTGTGCAAACAAGTTATGTTTCTTAACGAATTCCTGGTAAATTTTAGCTTGATTGACATCTCTTCAGAGAAACTTATTATCCAATCACTTGACTCTCTAACAATTATCTGCAAATTAAGAGTGTAAAGAAAGATCTTTAACCAGACATTCTTTTCCTTTTTTCCAAAAATGATTATTGAAACACTTCTTTTTTTGTATAACTATCTCCACAAACAGAAAAATATTTGAATTGGCTTATTAGAGACCTTTTTCTTCAAAGCAAAGGCAAGAGGAAAGCATCAGGATGAGGAAAGCAAATGTTTACATATACTAGGGATAAAAATGGCTCCATTTGAGCAAACAAAACAAAACAAAAAAACCCACACAAACAAACAATAACCCCACATAGCAACTCACCTGAGTCATGGCTTTGATATTTGTAGAAAAGGATCAGTTGTCCTCTGAACTCCTCCACTTTTGGAAAAAGACAGAGCTGGGGGAAGCAAAAGAAGCTACATAAGATCTTATTTGCCTGATAGCTCCAAAAATGATCATTTCCCCTCTGTTCACTCCACACAAACACTTAAAGGGTTATTAATGAAAAGAACAGGAAAGTATTTTATTATCCCCAACTCCAGAAACCTCAGGCTTTTGACTAGACCAGAATAGATTTGAACAACCTGATATGGCTTGGAGAATATATATATATACCTACACTCAAAGATGTAATTTCTTTTACATAAATTGTAGCATATTTTACATACTATTACACATATTTGCTATTTTAATTTAGTATATTTTGTATTGGATCCCAACTAGTACATACAGAGTTGCATAATTCTCTTAGCTAAATTATACATCATTAAATGAATATATTTTACTTAACCAATCTGCTGTTGATGATAATTTGGGTTATTTCCAGTCTTTCATTATAACAATGTTGTACATATCATTCATTGTACATATCATTTTACCAACATATAATTTTGAATGATTAATTCATAAAAGTTGATTACAATCATTTTGGTTTGGATATACATTGGTCAAACCAGGTTTCAATAATCCTGAATTATACAATCAGGTCCCAAATCCTGAGCAAGAAACAATTGATTGATAAACAGATTCTCTAATTCTGCTTTAAGTCTTGCCTTAAGATAACTAAAGTCCAGAAAAGCAAACAAAGAAATATTACTGAAACTTTAGCAAGATGTTAAAATTAGCATAGCAATAAAAAAGAATTACGAGTATAGAAATTATGTAGAAATTGACCATATAACTGATGCTTTAGAATAGCTTTTGATGTTACATGAATGAATAATTTTAAAAATCACATATTTTATGTACTTAACATGTTTAAAATGTCCAAAAGAATAGTTATACTAACCAGATCAGTGAGGCACATTGGTTGAGTGTTGACATATAAACCAGGAGGTTACAGTTCCATTCTTTGTCAGGGCACCTGCTGGGGATGTAGGCTCAATCCCCAGTGCAGGAGGCAACCAGTCAATGATTCTCTCTCATCATTTATGTTTCTATCCCCTCTCTCTATCCCTCTCTGAAATCAATCAAATATATTATTAGAAAAGAATAATTATACAAATAGAAGGCTAAATTATTTAGGAAGAGCAACAACTTCTTTATATTTAAACTTTTAAGAAAAAAACGTTTTTGCTTATTAGATATAGGAAAATAAACTGAGCATTATAAAGTATTAGTGGCCCGGTGCACACAATTTGTGCACATTAAACAAGGGTTAGAGGAAATATTTTAATAATGCTATTTGTCCTTTCTCTATAATAGAAGTGTCAGAGATGAAAGAAAATTAGTAAAATGTGTATGAAAATCTTCCTCCTGTCAGAGTCTGGGATCCAGAGTAAAGTCCCACCCACCCATGTGTGCCTCAAAATCACGTGAGCCCCAGACCCAGCCACCTCCCCCCCATTAGGCTAGCTCCAGACCCGGCCGATCTCACCCTTGTCTAGCCCTGCCAGATGGGAGGGGTGGAGGGGTGCAGCATCAGATCTCCCGGCCAAGTGCTGGGGCAGGGGACATGGCCTGAGGTCCCCCGGGGGCGCATCCTGAGGACCCCGTGAAGCCCCGCCAGGTTGGGGATGCAGCCTGAGATCCCCTGTCAAGTCCTGCCAAATGGGAAGTATGGCCTGAGGTTCCCCACCAAGCCCTGCCGGGCAGATGGCACACCTTGCGATCCCGGCAAGCCCCACTGGGAGGGGGAACACAGCCTCAGGTTCCTCATCCAAGCCCTGCTCCACAGGGGGCATGGCCTGAGGTTCCCGGCCCAGGGCTGGGTCAGTTGGCCCACCTTGAGGTCCCCATGAAGCCCTGCTGGGTATGGGGCATGGCCTGATGTCCCGGCCTAGTGCTAAGGCAGGGGGCGTGGCCTGAGCTCCCCAGGCCTGGTGCCAGGGTGGGGACAAGGTCTGAGGTCCCCTGTCAAACCCCACAGGGGCAGGCGGGGTGCAGCCTAAAGTCCCTGTTGATTGCTCAATTAAGGCTCATTATGGGAACTCAGCCTCTGCTGTGGGCTCAGCCATCTTGTGTTATGGAAACCACTGCCTCCACTGTGGGCACTGCCATCTTTGTGGCAGTGTGATGGTCATTATGCATATTCCCTCTTTATTAAATAGGATAAAGGGCAGTGAGCATTTCTCTCTGCACAAAGCTTCTTGATCATTAAACAATTCATCAACAATTTCAAGTAAAACTAAACACCCAGGAAGTAGCACCATGTTATCAATTATTTAGTGGCTACTCACTATCTCACTATATTCCTCAAGGTGCATATATATTCCAAGAAATTAAAATCAAAATGGTCCATACATCTCTTCCTTAAAATGCTGCTTTTAATATTATCCTATATAATAAAAGCCTAGGCGGCATCACATCCTCAAACAACACCCTCGTGCAACATCAGGGGTATCCTCACACACCAAATTGTTGCATCTGAGGGATGTGTCCCTCCTTTTTAAAGCTAAGCATCTCTATGGCCAAGACTATATATAGTATGCCTGTAAAATGACCACACCTGGACATAGAGCACCGCAAAAAAATAACACTACAGGGAAGAAAGTCCTTTAAAATGGAGTAACTTACATTTTTTAGTATTTTACACTTTTATAAATAATAAACTTATCCTATATAATAAAAGGCTAATATGTAAATTGTTCCCTTGACTGAAAGATCAACCAGAATTTCAGCCAGGGGGCAGAGCCTGCCAGCTAACAATACACACCCCTGATCATCCCCCATCACCCTGATCAGGGGCAGAACCAGCCAGCCAACCTTCCGCATACCCTCCCCCTGGCAGGCCTGGCCCGATAGGCCCTGATTGGAGCCGGTGGGCCAGACCCCACCCGTGCACGAATTCATGCACTGGGCCTCTAGTTTTTTTTAATAATAAAGATTATAATTTCACTTACAGTATGTTTTAAATTACTTCTAGAATTATCCTGAAAATTTTCCATATACTAGAAATTATATATGTCTGTTAGTAACAGAACCTGAAAAACAGTTTAACTTTTCTTTTATAATGAGAAAGTTAGAAGTAGATAGTGACTGGCCTTGACACCCCCCCCCCCCCAGTTGTTTTAGATACAATATTTATCATACAATTAAAAAACACAAGATTAAAAACAGAAAATAGGAGCAGAACCACAGACAATTCAGACATAGGACCTGGCAAACAAATCATTTAAAATAGCTACAATTAAATGTTAAAGACAATCAAGGAAAAAATGATAGGCAAATGTGTGAGAAGATGAAGAAAATAGAATTTAAATTTATTTAAAAAAATATTAAAATAGACTATTTAAATCAGCAAGTTAAGAAATTAAAAAGTCATTGCACAGTGTTAACATGAAACCAGGCATGTAAAAAATAGAATTACTGAACTAAAAAACAAGTAAAAAATATATTTACATAAAGTGCAGACAAGAAAGAAAAAGAACAAAAAGAACATAAGTTAATATAAAAGACACATGAGACACAGTCAAAAGAGCTCCCACACATGTAAATGGCATCTCAGAAAGATAAAGGAGATTGGATAGTAATTAATAGGAAAACATGAACTAAGCCAAAACCGGTTTGGCTCAGTGGATCGAGCTTCAGCCTTCAGACTGAAAGGTCCCGGGTTCAATTCCAGTCAAGGGCATGTACCTTGGTTGCGGGCATATCTCCAGTGGGGGGTGTGCAGGAAGCAGCTAATTGATGATTATCTCTCATCAATGTTTCTAACTCTCTATCCCTCTCTCTTCCTCTCTGTAAAAAAACCAATAAAATATATTTTATATAAAAAAAACCATGAACTAATCAAAAGCTTCAACAAGAGTTTCAAGAAGCTCAGAAAATCTGAAGTAAAACAAAGATACAAAACAATGAGCAAAACCACAACCAAATATAGCCAAATTGTTAAAAACCAAAAAGTAAACAAAAACACTTGAAAGTAAACAAAGAAGAAAAAATTACCAAGAGCACTGATTAAAAAAAGAGGGGAAGTATACAAATGAACAATATAAGGAATGAAAAGGTAACATCATTACAGGTTCCATAGACACTAAAAAGATAAAAACAGAATACTAATAAGTTTATGTTCATAAGTGTGAAAGCTTAGATAAAATAGACAAAATTCCTGCCAAAACCGGTTTGGCTCAGTGGATAGAGTGTCAGCCTGCAGACTCAAGGGTCCCAGGTTCAATTCTGGTCAAGGGCATGTACTTTGATTGCAGGCACATCCCCAGTGGGGGGTGTGCAAGAGGCAGCTGATCGATGATTCTCTCTTATTGATGTTTCTAACTCTATCCCTCTCTCTTCCTCTCTGTAAAAAAATCAATAAAATATATATTTTTTAAATAGACAAATGCCTTAAAAAAAAACATTCCTAAATTGATAAACAAAAACAAAATAAAAAGAGTTAAATTGACCCCATAATTTAAAATCTTCATATCAAGAAAATTTTAGGCCCAATTGCTTCACCAGTAACTCAGTAACTTCTTCCAAATTTAAGAGACAACTTTATTCTTACTTGTAGTGAATAGCAAAACACAAAATTCTTCTTTGAGGCTAATAGAAGCCTGACACCAAAACTTAACAGACATTAGAAGAAAATATAGGCTAATATTTCTCATAAGGAAATAAAACAGAAATTCTACATTAGCAAATTTAACCCAATAAAATTATTTTTTAAATGATTTAATATATTATGACCAAGCAGGATTTACTTCAGAAAGAAAAGGTTGGTTTGACATTTGAAAAACAACATAATTTACCACATTGATATCCTATATAGTAAAAGAGTAATATGAAAATTAACCATCACTTAGCTACACCTGCAAACCCACCCACAAGCCATGCCCACAAGCCAATCAGGAGTGAATATGCAAATAAACCCAACCAAGAAGGCTACAACCAGA